TGGAGGCCATGGTAAGAGAAAAGATAGTGTTTAAGGGGAACTTTAAATGGTTGAGCATGGCTACAGTATAGGTTAGGGTATGAGTTGATGCTGGAGAAGGAAGAAGTCATTAAGAGCTTCATATGTCATTATAAGGAGTTTGTATTTTATCCTGAAGGCAAAGGAAAGCCATAAAATATTCTGAATAAGGGGAATGGTATTACATTTGATTTTTAAAAATCACTTTGGGCCTGGTGTGGTAAGTCATGCTTGTAAAATCACAGCATTTTGGGAAGCTGAGGTGGGCGGATCCCTCTCATCCTTTTCTTTTTTTTCCTTTTTTTTTTTTTGGTAAGATGGGTCTATGCTATACAATAAGCCCAAGGCTGGTCTTGAAACTCCTAGCCTCAAGCATTCTCCGGCTCCCCGTCTCCCAGAGGCTGGGATTTATAGGGTTTTTTTGTGAGCCACTGCACCCTGGCATGCCTTTAACCTTCCTTTCTCCACACAGATGAATCAATCCTGCTGCTGTGTGGCTTTTGTGGATGCTTTTGATCATTAATCCAAAATTTTTATCTTAGTAACTCTCAAAACTCTAGATCTATATACCCCAAAACCTACCTAGAATGCCTTAACAGAGTTGTCTAAGATTTGTCTAATAACAGTTCTTCACTCTTTACGCGCCCTGACCCCTACTTGAAATTATTTTACAAACCCACGAGGTGATCTTGATAATTGGCCAGTTAGAAACATCACCATCGAATCCATCTACTTTCTCTATGAATGTGAGTTCTCTATCTGTAAATAGGGACTAAAAACCTAAATTTTTAAAAAATCTAAGTGTAACAAGAGAATAACTTTATTTTATAATTTATGTATACATTTTTTGAGACGGGAGTCTCAGCCGCATCAACTCCCTGGGCTGTTGCCAGGCTGGGGAAGTGCCAGTGGCCGCATCTCGACCTCAACTGCAAACTCCACCTCCTGGGTTCAAGGCGATTCTTCCTGCCTCACCTTCTGAATAGCTGGATTACAGTCATGTGCACCACGCCCCAGTAATTTTGTAATTTTAAATAGAGATGGGGTTTCCACATGTTGGGCCAGGCTGGTTCGAAACTCCTGATCTCCAGTGATCCGCCTGCGGCCTCCAAAAGTATTGGGATTACAGCTTGAGCCACTGCGCCCAGCCCTAAAAGAATAGACTTTTTTTTTTTTTTTTTTTTTTTTGAGATGGAGTCTCACCCTGGTCACCAGGCTGGAGTGGCGATGTGTCAATCTCGGCTCACTGCAACCTCCGCTCCAGGAGGGAGTGGATTTCTCCTGCTCAGATTCCAAAGTAGCTGGGATTACAGGCGCTGCCACCACACCCAGCTAATTTTTTGTATCTTTGTAGAGCAGGTTTTCACTATGTTGGCGCAGGCCTGGTCTCTGAACTTCTGACCTCCTGATTCCATCGCCTCGGCTTTCCCAGAGTACTGGGGATTACAGGCGTGAGCACCGTACCTGGCGAGAATAAAGGTATTTCTTCCAGGTTCCTATATGAAAAACCCCAATTTATGGTAAGTGAGAATATGTAGGAGTCTAAATCCCTCTCTCCATTACATTGGCCCTCTACATTCAATTACACTTAATTGATACCCTTATACCCATTATTTCTTCCCCCTAGAATCCCTGCACGTGTCTTGGACTAATCTTTCCTGCCTACACTGTAACCCATTATCCCTATAATCCATTTATCACAAGTCACTCCAGAGGGTGATTTTTTTTTGAGGAACAGGGGTCTCACTCTGTCGCCCAGGGAATGGAGTGCAGTGGTTGGTGCTTATAGCTTCACTGCAGCCTTGACCTCCTGGGCTTAAGCATTATCCTGCCCTCCAGCACCCGCCCAAGTAGCTGAGAACTACAGGTGTGTGCATAATGCCTGGCCTAAGCTGGGCATGGTGGCCTCACGCCTGTAATCCCAAGCCACTTCGGGAGGCTGAGGGTGGGTGGATCACTTGAGTCAGGAGTTCAAGACCCTAGCCCTGAACCAACAATATGGTGAAACCTGTCTCTACTAAAAATACAAAAAATTAGCCGCGTGGTGGCGCATGCCTGTAATCCCAACTTACTTTCAGAAGGCTGAGGCAGGAGAATTGCATGAAAACATAGGAGATGGAGGTTGCAGTGAGCCAAGAAAATCACGCACTGGCAACTCCAACGTGGGTGACAAAAGCAAGACTTCATCTCAAACCAAAACAAAACAAAAACAAAAAAACGCCGGCCCTCTTTTTGTATATTTTGTAGAGATAGGTTCACCATGTTGCACAAGCTGGACGTCAAAAGGGAG